TATCCGCGTGCGGGGCGGTCTGAAGGCGGGGGCGGACTGGGTGGGTCCACATGTTTGGACCGTTTGCCGCGTGTGCGTCTCTTTTACGTGTGTCTGTGGTCGCATTAGTATTTAACATGTGTCTGCAACGCAATTGCGGTGGTGTTGAATTGCCTTTTGGCCCCGTGGGTTGGTGGCCTGGCCGCAGCTTGTGTGGGGGGCGTTTGTTCCCCTCTCTCATCGTTGCAGTTTCACTTTTTTTTTCTTTTTTTGTGGCTTCTCCGTTTTCGCCGTCCACTGGGCAAGCTGTGTTCCCGAGCAGAGAGCGGGGGGATGGGGGCGGCGACCGGCGCGGAGATGCGCCACATTGAGCGTTTGCCCGAGAGCGTCGTCAACCGCATCGCCGCAGGGGAGGTGGTGCAGCGCCCGAGTGCGGCGCTGAAGGAGCTGCTGGAGAACGCCCTGGACGCGGGGGCCGCCTTCGTCCAGGTCCTCGTGCACGACGGCGGGCTGGGGGTGCTGCAGGTGACGGACGACGGCCACGGCATCCACCGCGAGGACCTGCCGCTGCTGTGCGAGCGCTACGCCACCAGCAAACTGCGCTCCTTTGAGGAGCTGAGCCGCATCACCTCCTTCGGCTTCCGCGGGGAGGCGCTGAGCTCCATCTCGTACGTCGCTAGGGTGACGGTGACGACGCTGCGGCGCGCTGGCCCCGACGGGGCCCCGCCTGGAACGCTTGCGTGGCGCTGCCACTACCTGGATGGCGCGATGCAGGGCGAGCCGACGCCGTGCGCCGGCAACCCCGGCACAAGCATCCGCGTGGAGAGGATGTTTTACAATTCCGCCGTGCGCCGCCGCGCGCTCAACCGCCCCTCGGAAGAGTACGGCCGCATTGTGGCCGTTGTCGCACGGTACGCCCTGGCCTTTCCGCACGTCGCGTTTTCCTGCCGCCGGGAGGAGGGTGGCGGGGCGAAGGCGGAGGTTTTCTTCCCCAGGGACTCCGCCACGCTCGCGAACATCCGTCTCTTTCACGGCCCGGCGATTGCCTCCCACCTGCACGAGCTGAGGTGCGTCGGGGCCAGCGCCGAGGGATGCTCGGCGGAGGCGGTGCTGGCGGCACGAGGGAGCGCCGGCGAGGGCTGCTTCCTCATACGCGGCTACACCAGCGGCATGGCGCTGCTCAACCGCAGCCCGTACCTCTGCGTGTTTGTCAACAACCGGCTGGTGGAGAGCGCCGCCATCAAGCGGGCGGTGGACACCGTCTACAGCGGCGTCCTGACGGGCGGCAACCGCCCCTTTACGGTGCTCTTCATCACCGTCCCCCCGGACCGCGTGGACGTGAACATACACCCCACCAAGCACGAGGTCTGCCTCCTTGACGAGGAAATTATAGTGGCGCAGCTCTCGGAGAATGTCCGGCTTGCCGTGCTGGAGTCGGCCGCCCGTCGTCAGCTCGACACCCGGCACGTACTCTCCAAGGCGGCTGCCCTGTGTGACAGGGGGGCGCACTTGCCGCCGCCGTCCACTTCCGTGTGCTCCTCCTCCACCCGCGCCGTTGCTGGAGTGGCGCCGCCGCCTTGCAACGTCGTGCGGGTGGAGCCACAGCGTGGGGCGCTCGACGCCTATTGCCGGCGCTTGCCGGCGGCGGATGAGGACGGGGCAAGCAAGCCATCCCTGGACGACGGCGGCGGCGGGCTGCCGCGGCCGGAGGCCCGCGGCCAGTTGTATCTCTTGGCCGCAGGGGACTCGGCGGACGTCGTCTTCCACGCGGAGCCCCACGCCGCGCAGGCGTCGAGCGTCCGCCCGCCAGCGTGCGACGATGTTACCGCGCCTCCTGCCACGCCGATCGTGAAGGCTGACGCCACGACTGCCGCTGGCGGAAACACGGAGGTGTTTGCGAATATACTAAAGGAAGAAGCGGAGGACGAGGGCGGCGACGACGACGACGACGACGACTTGGGCTATGTCATGCGGCAGTTCAAGCGTCAGCGGAGGGAGATCCAGAGGGCGGCTGGCATGGCAACCGCCGCCGAGGAAGACGCGGAAGAAGAAGAGGACGTCGGCGGGGCGCGGGCAACGTCAGGGTTGCCTGCCGACGGAGCTGCGGCGGAGACTGTGCCAGATGGAGCGGAGAGCTTGCTGCTTACGAGTGTGTCTACCGTTGTTTCACACATTCTGCAGGCAACTTCCCCCACTGCCCAGTCACTTTTTGAGAAGCTGGCGTACGTGGGCGTGCTCAACGACTGCATGTTTCTGGCGCAGGCGGGAACCACCCTCTACGCCGTGGAGACGCTGCGTCTGGTTCGTCTCGTCGTGTACCAGCGCATATTCATGCGGTGGTCCGTGGCGTCACTGCCGGCGCCGCCGCAGCTGCTGCTGCAGGAGCCCGTGAAGGTGACTGACCTGCTGGGATTTGCCCTCCAGCACGACGTTCCCCCCGGTGCAGACGTTGCTTCCGCCGAGGGCATGCAACGCACCGTGCGCCGAATGGACCGATGCCTCCGTCAGTGGCGCTGCATGCTACTGGAGTACTTTGCCATTGAGATCACACACGACGGTTATCTCTTGGCGCTGCCGTTCGGCCTGAATGCCTCGTGGCCGCCCCCTCCGCGGGTCGTGCCACTCTTTCTCTGGCGCCTGGCGGCGGAAGTGCCGTACCGTGAGGGCGAATTGGCCTGCTTCACCGCGGTCGCCCGCCACATTGCGGACACTCTGTACGGACTACGCCTGCACGACGCCTGGCAGGAGCCGCGCCCGGCCCCGTCACCGGGTGATGCGGCTTCTGGCGACGGTGCGGACACGGACGACGGTGTGCCTTCCTTCGTGGACGCCATTCGGTTTGCGCTGTTGCCGTGCGCGACGAGCCCAAAGTTTTTTTTTCCGCCGGCCGATGCATTGCTCGATGGCACGCTGCAGGCAGTGGTGTCGGTGGAGGAGCTCTACAAGGTGTTCGAGCGCTGCTAGGCGCGGCGGCGGGGCAAGGGGTTCCCCCCGCCCGCACTTCACCACACCGTCCCTCGCGCCCTGCCTCCGTCCCTCCTGCCGCCTTTGCGCTTTCAGGACCCTTCCTGCCCGCCGCACACAGACACGCGGCGCGCGGCGTGGGCGGGGCACACCTCCCTGGCGCTCTCTTGGGATGCCGTGAATCCAGCAAGCAGGAGCGGCAGCGTGCCGCTTTCAGAGATGTGTTCATGTCTTTTTTGTTTGTTTGTGTCTGTAATGTTTGTGCCCTTGCCGCCGGGCGGTCCCTCGCCCGCCCTGTCCTCCTCCTTTGCGTGCGTGTGTTCCTGTACCCCGCTTCAGCTCCCCCGCTCTTTTTCCCCCATTCTATTATATATATTTCTCTCTCTGTGTGTGCAAGGCGTGGGACGCCGAGAGGGAAGAGGGAGCAAACAAAGAGGTTTAGGGAAGCAAAGGCGGGGCGGTGAAGCCCGGCCGCAAGCAAAGGCGGAGGAACTGAGAAGGAGGGCCTGGCGGAGGAGAGGCGCGGGCCGCTCTGCTGCAAGGCGAAGGCGGCAACACTAACAACAACTTACAACAACAGTAATAGAAGCAAGAAGAAGCGGGGGAGCCACACAAACACACACAAAGTATACTATCTATCCATTTCTACTACTCTTTCTTTCTCTCTCTCACCGTGTGTGTGTGTGTGTATTGCATGTACGCGGAGGACGCAGGGGGCGGGGACCCGTCGGACGAGCCGCCGGCGTTCGCTGGCGAGCGCCCTGGGGCGTTGTCTCCGCCGGGTAGGGTGCACCTCACCCCGCGGCGCCGCGTGGTGCTGCCGGTTGTGCACATCCGCGCCAGGCCCATCCTGCCGTACCTGGGGGAGCGGAAGGAGCAGCGCCACGTGTGGTGCCTCGACCACCAGAACCTCGTGGTGCGCTCCAGTAAGGTGGCGTCGGCGCGCCGTCAGACCGCGTCGCCGGTGTGTGGCAGCGGTGCCCCCAATAGTGCGCCACAGTCGCCGTTTGCGTCGCCGCAGCTGCGGCCCCACTCCGTCTCCCCTGTGCGGTGGAGTGAGCTGCCGCTGGCCAGGACGCCGTTCGGCAGGCAGACGCCGCGGGGTCACCGCAGAGACGCCTCGTGCCCCCGCCGCACTTCAACTGCCACCCCACGGAGGGGAACTCGACCTACCACGCCAACCACGCAGGAGGCCGCAGCGCCCAACCCACCTGGCTTCATTCGGCGGGAGGAGCACTTTAGCTTTGACTTTATCCACGGCGAGGACGCAACTCAAGATGAGGTCTTCGAGGAAAGCGTGCTGGATTTTGTTGACTTAGCACTCTTGGCGCAAAACGTCGCCATAGTCTGCTACGGCCCCACAGGGAGCGGCAAGACGTATAGCATGATGGGCCCCGCACGCAGTTCTGCGTTGAGGAAGCGAAGCCCTGTGATACCATCAATGTATAATGCAAACTTTTTTGAGGACCGACAGCTCTATGAGAACAGCAACCGAAGTAAAATTGGCACCGCGCTTGAGCCGCTGTCGAACAGCCACAGAAGCAGCAGTACCACGGTAGCCACCAATGCCTCGGGGTCAGCCGGGCTGGGGTCGATGACGACGCTAACACAAGGAGCACCCCCGCCCGCGGCGGCGGAAAGGGATGAGGGGCAGCAGCAGCAACAACAGCAGGAAGGGAGAGGCGCGCAGAGTCCAGGGCGTGGAGCGGATGCCAGAGAAGTCGTGGGGAGCCCATTATCTTCGGGTATGTCTCCGTTCGACTTGGAATTCCCGCTCTACACGGACGCCTGCGCCGTGCCCAGAAACGAGATGAGCCTCACGGGACTTAGTAGTGGTCTGGCGGAGTCGTTGTTCGTGGCGGATGAGGTGAATGAGGCGGTGGGTTTGCTGCCGCGCCTGGTGCTCATTTTGCTGGAGCGCCGCGGGGAGACAGTCGTGCTTGAGCAAGAGGAATCGACGGCCAGAGCCTCACCCGCTGGCCGGTCCGGCGGGGTAGGTGATAGAAGCCAGGACAGGCAGAGGCGAGGCCGTGGCGCCTCCCTGACGCTGCAGGAGCTTATCCTTTACGGCGTGGAGCTGTACATGGACGAGTTCCACGACTTGCTGGATCCCGCTAAACGGCTGATCTCAAACGTCAGCGACATCGGCGGCCTTGACGCATTCTGTCGGAACATGAACAGCCCTGGCGCCTTCGCGGCAGGTGGTGCTGGGAAACGCTCGAGTGGCGTGGGCGGCACCCCTTTTCGCGGCGGTGGGGTGCCGGTGTCCTCCGTCGACGACTTCCGCCGCTGCTACAAGCTGGCGTCGCGCAATCGGGTGACGAAGGGGCACCAGCGCAACGACACGAGCTCGCGCTCGCACGCCGTTTTCATTCTGCAACTGCAGTTCGACCTGACGGACTCGCGGCACGCGGGCGGTGAGGCCGTGGCGCAGCGCGTCTGCTCGTACGTGGCGATGGTCGACCTCGCCGGCTCCGAGCGGGTGAAGGAGACGAAGGTGGAGGGGGCCGCGCTCCGCGAGGCGCAGTACATCAACAAGTCTATCTCCGCCCTCTCAGCCGTGCTTCTGGCGTTGTACCAACGATCTAGTCATGTGCCGTACCGGGACTCCAAGCTCACGCGTTTGCTGCGGCCGTGCCTGGAGTCCGGACACGTGCTGACCCTCGTGCATGTCACGCCCTGCTCCGCGGAGGAGACGCTAAGGAGCCTCAAGTTTGCAGAGCTGGTGCGTCACACAAACGTACAAACCCACAGTTTGGCAAACGCCTCAACAGAAGTGGTGTCATTGCTCGAGGACTTGCGAGACCCGCATGCGGAGGAGCGCATCGAGGCGTACCGCCGACTGGAGGTGGAGTACGTCCAGCTCTGCGCGGAGATGCGGCTTGCGTACCTCAGTCGTGACACGCAGGACGTCTCGCAACAGGACTCCCTGACGCCCGCGATAAACTCTGCAGCTGCGTGGTCTGCAGGCCAGGAATTGTCGCCAGGTCAGAGGCGCGCGTACATTATTGGAACTCTTGTGGAGCGGCAACTGCACCGCTACCGGGCGATGGAGGACAAACGGATGCAGGAGGCCGCCGCGGAGATTGAGAGGGAGTGGGAGTTCTACGTCGAGAGCGCGCGCCGCAGCAAGCGACAGGAGATTGAAGATCTACAGACTGCCGTTGAGCAGCTGCAGGCCGTCAATGCACGGCTGGCGAAGGAGAACAGCCAACCGGTGCTGCGCGACGAGCATGCCATGGACATCAAGCGACACATGAGGGAGCTTGCTGCCGAGATGACGAACTGCGCAAGGGAGAAGCTGCTGCTCCGGGAGGGAATGCGCGCCATTGACCAGCGCATTGCCCTGCAAGCGGACTTGGAGCGTTGCCTGGATGAGCAGCTGCGGAAGACGCAAAGGGTTGAGGCGGAGGCAGGCGGTAACAGTGCGAGGCTGTCCGTCGACGGCCACGTGGATGGGGAGATGGGGGAGATCTTCCACCAACAGCACCTTCTCTCAAAGGAGATGTCGCTGCTGCGAAAGGAGGCAAGCTGCTTTGTATTGGGTGACGGGATCTGGGAGGGGATCTGGGCCCGCGTCATGCGGCAGGAGTTACTGCTGGCCATCAGCATAGATCTGGAAATGCTGGAGGGCATTCTGCTGCGCCCCCAGTCCCTGCGCTGGGTGCTGGAGGCGAATGGATTGACGTCGGAGGCGGCGCGGGAGGCCGCCTTCCCCACGTATTCGGTCGTCCGTAGCGTCAAGACATTGCTGGACACCTTCGAAACGCTGAAGAAGCAGGCGGCGGGCCACGCCAACGGTGCGGGGGAGAGTGAGGTGCGGAGGGCCCCGCTTCCCCCAATTCCACTTGCCCTGTCGAACGGCGACGAGGTGAGAGCCGCGGCGACGCTCGTTGGCTGCTACGGCGACGAGGCAAAGATGCAGGAGGTGGGGGTGAGGCAGCTGGCCGAGGAGGGGATCTTCTGCGAGGTCACGTGTCTCTCCATGGGGGTCGAGGAGCTCGTGCGGCGGCGGCCGTCGGCCACGGGGCTAATGCAGCTGACGAATTACAAGGTGCCGTGGGGCTGCTTGCGGCTGGTGCGCCCACCCAAGGACGCCTCCTCCTACTGCCTGGAGTTCTTCCAGCGCGCGTACACCGGCAGCGACAAGGTGCGGGACCGGCGCGTCATCTCCATTCCGCTGGCTGAGCCGCAGCTCCGCCTCAAATTACACGTCTTTGAGGCGGAGGGGCTGCTGTACACCCCGGCGTGGGACGACGCGTCGCCGGCCCCGGACACCGCCCTCCCACTGCTGGCGCTGGAGCTGCGGGGCGTTCACCCTGCCACCAACGCAAGCGCGCAACACCACCAAAATGGAGGTACAAGCGCGCGCTCGCGGGGACACGCACACTACAACGCCCCGCCTCCCCTCGACACCGGGGGCGCGTACAACGGTCATGGACTGCTGCCTACTGGCGCTGAAAACGCCAACTCGCGTGACTTTTTGCTCACCAAGCGTCTGGATTGCGGCGGGGACTTGCTGCTTCCGTCTGGTTGCATGGCGGCGTGCGAGGAGGGAGGAGGGTGCTTCCTGCTGCATTTCCCAGAACGGCTTTTTGCAAAAGCAACCCGCACAGAGGCGGTGGAGTGCATTGTTGCCGCCCTTTCAGGTCTGACGCTGCCTTTGTTTTCGGACGCGTCGCAGGGTTGCTCTTCCAGCACCACCGACTCAGACACCGTGATTGGTGACGTTCGTGTGGTGACGTATCAGCACGTGCCGTACGTGCTGCTCAGCAGCGAAGGTGGTCCGCTGCGGGGCAGCCATGCAACAAGCCTGCCGGTGCCTCGTAGGGTGGGGATGCAGTTGCTGGGGTACTTCAGTGCCACCCAGATTCGCTTCTACTTTCAAATGGATGACGACAATGGGACGAGTGAGAAGAGCGAAACGGATTCGCGTTCCCCGCCGTTTTCCCACGGTCGATTTGCCAGGTCATTTTCCACTGCTTGCGCTATGCTGAGCCGTCTTGGCACTTTAGTTCCCGCCCCTTCTGCTGCGGGCGGCAGTGTTGATAGCGAAGAGGGCGGTCGTGGGAAGAATGGCGGCAGCGGCGCGGAGGCCACGGAGGACGTGGATGGGGCGGAGTCACTGATGCAGCGCATGCAGCGGCTTTTCGCATTTCGCAAAAAGACGTGTGCGCTGGTGCGCCAGCAGATCTTCGACGCCGAGGACATTAAGGCGGAGCTCCTTTACAGCTACTCCGACAGCGAGTTGCTGCAAGGGACACACATCAAGGCTGTGCTGAAGGAGGCTCGGGAATTGATCGACCTGCAGCAGCCACGCAGAAGCACGGCTCTTGTATTGCATGGGCCCGTGCGTGCCACCCCCGGTTTGTGCCGTGAGATGTGCGGCACCACCGTTCCCTGGACGCTCTGGCACTGGGCACACCGCTGGAAGGCGCTGCAGGAGGCCCACAGACTCCACCAGGCGCTGACCGGCGCCCATGACGTGGGCGATGACTCGGATAGCGCGGACGACTCTGCGGGTGACGGCGGCGGCGGCCGTCTCTCCACGGTGGCCTCCACCGTGGCCCCACGGGACGCCGCCGGGCAGTCACTCCTCGCCTTTGAGGAGCTGCCGTGCTTCCTCACCTGCATGGAATAGCTGGTGGGGTATGCGGCCCCCTCCCCCGACACCCCACCCCCGCTCACGACAAAGTTTACCTTTGCGCTTGTGCGTGTGTGTTTTTTTTCTTTCTTTTCATTTTTTTTTTTGCTTGAGCCTGCCAAGCCCCGGTTGCGGCGTCGTGGGAAGATGCGCCCTCTCACACTATTTTGCTGCTTTCTTCCATGTCGTTCTCTTTTGAGTATTTTTGGTTTTTTTTTTCTCTCTCTTTTACTATGCTTATTTAGCTTGTTCACGTTTGCGTGTCGCTTGTGTTTGCCTCTCCCCTCCCTCCCTCCCTCCCTCCCCCCGTTCCCCCTTCTCGTCGTCCTCCTCTCTCTCTCTCTCCCGCCGCACCCACCACCAGCTCGCACTGCCCGCTGCAGCGCCACATATTTGACGCTGGCGTGCACCTGACGCCCGCACGCACGCGCCCGGCAGGGCGGCCACCGCGAGAGGGGGCGCGATACCGCGTGAGGAGAGAAGTAGAGGGCTGAGGCAACGTGCGCGTTTGGCGCCTACTTTCGCCCTTTTCGCCCCCCTTTGCTTTGCCGCACCCCGCAGCCAGACAGGGAAGGAAGGAAGGAAGGAGGGAAGGAAGCGGCGCATGGACTCCGACGACGACCTCCAACTCCCGCCGCCGCGGCCCGCCATCAACCTGTCCGACTCGGACGATGACTTGCCGCCGCCCGCGGGGCTGGCGCCGAAGCGGCGGGCGCCGCCGCCCGTGAGGCCGGCCGGAGGAGCTGCGCTGCTTTCGCCGAATAACAAAGCCAGCACCGTCCATCGCGGCGAGCTCGCCAGCTCGCCGCCTGTGTCTCCCCCCGCGGCTCTTGCGGCACCGAAGGGCGCGAGCCACGCGGATCCGCAGCAACAGCTGCCACCTTTGCCGTTCACCGCTGACGCAAAGACGAGGGTTAACCCTGCCAAGGTGTACAAGGAGGGCTTCTTGTTTAAGCAGCAGCCAAGCTGGCCGTACAGCAACCAGAAGCGGTACTGTGTGCTAAAGAACTGTAGGCTTTACTACTTTGACTCGCAGGAAAGCATGAAGGAGGGCAAGCCGCAGGGTGTGATTGACCTCACCAACGCGAAGCTGACGGATCCCGGGAGCGAGGCCAAGCTACCGTCGAACTTTGGGATCCACGTGGCGAGCGAGAGGCAGGCGGACGGGGGAGGCAGCGGCAGCAACAAGAAAGAGCGGACGTTCATTTTCTCCGTCGTGCACGTCCACGAGCTGGGCGAGTGGAAGGCGGCTGTTCAGGCCGTTGTGGGCGACACCGAGGAGGATGAAGGGGCGCACTGGTTTGAGAAGATGGTGCAGGGGGTTTACTAGCGGCGCCGGCAATCTTCTCGGCGGGCGGAAGGGGGGAAAGTGAGGAACGCACCAAAAGCATGCATCGCCTCTCTCACTCCACAGTGTACGTCGAACGCAAACGCAAACGCAAGCCAAACGGCGAAAGCAACAAACGGTGCACGCCGTTCTTATCGAAATTACTACCAGTCAGGGGATCAGCAGCGATGGTGCACCCCCCGCTGTTTCTCCGCCAATGCGAGGAGGCAGAACAAAGTGAAAAATGGGAACTCGCGAAGATCTCTTTATTGCTCTTTTTTTTATTGTACTTTTCTTTATTTATTTGTTTATTTGCTCCCTCTCCCGCTGTGGTGCTGGCCTCGGGGGAGGTAGACTTTTTTTTTTCGTTGCGCCTCTCTTCCTCCGCCTCTGAGCATCCCCACCGTAGCGGCCAGGCGGCGTCCAGTTATGCGGCGCCTCACCCCGCGGCTGCGTGGAGCCTGCAGTGAGCTGTGGAAAGGGCTGACGCAGATGTACGACGACTACGTGCTCTGGCAGGACCGCAGAGACGACGCCCGGTGCGCCGCTTCCGCCGAGGCGAGCGCGGATGGGAGTGGCGGCGTCGTCGTCGTCATCGATCGCCGCATGCGCGAGAACGCGAACGCCTGCCCGCGGAGTGTTCTTGTGATTCCTGCCGACGGTATCGCAGACGCGTGTCGAAGACACCGGCGCAGCGGGGCCACCGCGGATGCCGTGGTGTTTGACTTAACGTGCTGCAAGGGACGTGGAGGGGAGGCGCGCGACGGCATCTTGCGTTTCTTGCAGACGGAGGAACCGGGTGAAAACCGGGGCGAGGAGAAGCGTGAGGAGGGGGCGTGCCCGCGCGCCGCAGAGCGGGGCCGCTACCTGATTCGTGTCAACTCCCCTGAGTTGGACCCCGTAAACGGGTTTCTGGACCTGGAGTTGGCCGCTTTGCTGGGCGACCGCATTGAGGGCGTTCTCCTGCCCGCGGTGACGGTCGACACTTACTCGCTCGCTGAGGCGTACATTCACCCCAGCCACCGTCTGTGGGCCTCCTTTGACACCCCGCTCTCCGTCGTGCAGGCGCCAGAGATTTGCCGCCAGGGCCACTACCACTACGCCGTGGTGGGCCCAAGGCGGCTTGCCGTGGAGCTCCAGCTGCCAATGGGCAAAGTCGCGTGCGGTGAGGCCTCTAGCGGCGACGTGGACAGTGACACTGCCCAGCATCTTGCCCTGCTTGGTTCGCTGCCTTTGCTGCACTGCAGCCTCCAGGTGTTACTTGCGGCCAGGGCCTTTAAGATGCACGTCTTGGACGGCGCCTTTGACGACGCCTCGGACACCGCCGGATTTCGCCGTGACGTCCACCTCGCCCGCTCGCTTGGGTTTGACGGCAAGCTGGTCGTGCACCCCGCGCAACTCGCCCCCTGCCACGCAGCATTTGCCCCCACAGAGGAGGAAGTGGCGTGGGCGAGGCGAGTGCAGCAGAGAGTGGCGCGGCGTGGCACCACGGAGGAGGCTGTAGGGAAGCGTGAGGCGACGCAGTGGCGACGTGCCGCATCTGTGCTCGAGCGGCAGGAGGAGGCAGCGCTTCCCGCAGCGGCCCCGGCTCATCGAAGCGGCGGCGGCAGAGCCAAGTAGAAGCGGCGTCCCCGTGATGCATGCGACTGACTGAGATGCCCTTCTTCACCCTTTCCTGCGAGTCTTCTTTGTGCGCGGGCCAAGTTGCCAGACCCTTCCACACTCCTGCAGGCTGCAGCCAGCAAATACACACGCACACACCCTTTCGGTTTTCTCTTGCTGTTTTTTTTTCATTCTTACCGTTCCTCCCCGCACGTTAACTCAAGTGCCCATCACGCATTTTCGCAGTACGCGCGTGCCGAGCGTCAGTTGCAAGTCGCCTCTGGCCACAAGGCACCTTTTCGGGTCGCTGTGCAATAGTACCTCCTCTCTGCGCACCTGTACTTTTCCCTGCATGTCGGAGGGCATCGTTGGCCGCGACAGTCAGGCGGCGGGGGCGAAGGTGTGCCACCACTGCGGTGCCCATTTCATCAAGTCGACGGCGAAGTTCTGCTCCAGGTGTGGGACGAAGAAGAAATCTTCTCTGGTGGGGCGAAGGGAGACGACGGGCCCCGTTGACGATAGACGCACGCCGTTGAAAGGCGGCCTGGACCACACGGGGATTTACCACTCAGGGGTGGCTGGCAAAGCCGGCAGCAGCGGCACCCGTGGCGATGACGACGGCGGGAAGGCGTCACAGTCCCCCGCACCAGCGCGGCTCTCGACCGTTCCGTCTCCGCAGCTGCCGCTGAAGCCGGACGAGGACCCGCAAGACCCTGCGGACGCCGACAGCACGATTCACGTGACGCCGGAGGAGGAGGAGAAGTATAATTCGTGGGCCACGCTTAGCCCAGACGGCATCACTCCGGAGATGCTGCAAACGAATGACGCACCCGCGCTCCGCTCGTGGCGACGTGGTCTGTTGATTGGCCGTGGGACGTACGGCTCTGTCTATTTGGGTTTACTTGACGATGGCTCTTTCTACGCCGTGAAGTGCGTGGAAATTGGGGGGAAGACTGGTATGTTCAGCGTCAAGGAGCTTGTCTCCCTCTCGCGGGAGATTAATATGATGCGTCGTCTGCATCACAAGAACCTCTGCACCTTTAAGGGTGTGTACTACGATTCACTGAACAACACGATTTGTATGTTTATGGAATACATCGGCGGCGGGTCTTTGACCTCGTTAGTGAAGAAATTCAAGCCACTCCCTCCTGCCGTGGTGCGGAGCTGGACCCGGCAGTTGCTCACCGGTCTACTCTACCTGCACACGCAGGGCATCATCCACCGCGACATCAAGGGTGACAACCTCCTCGTGGACACCTCAAGCGACCCAAAGCTGGAGTCGCAAATCAAGCTCGTGGACTTTGGTGCGGCCAGGCGGCTCTCGGACGCTGTGGCGCAGAGCCGGACCGTCATCGGCACCCCGTACTGGATGGCCCCGGAGGTGGTGGACGTGACCGGCACCGGCGCCGGCTACAGTTACAAGGCCGATGTCTGGTCCGTGGGGTGTACCGTGGCTGAGATGCTGACGGGGAAGCCGCCGTGGCCGAGTCAGGTGAACGCGCCCGCGGCCATCATGATGATTGCGCAGGCGACTGACGGGCCGACGGAGATTCCGGAGGCGGAGGCGACGCCGGGGTGCTTGGATTTTATGCGTAGGTGCTTCGTGCGGGACCCGGGGCGGCGGCCGACCGTGGAGGAGCTCATGCAGCACCCGTGGATCCTCGGGGAGGTGGCGTAGGACGCGCGCCCCCTGTGCGGCCCGGGGGTGGCTCTCTGCTCTGGTGTCCTTGAAAGAGAAACGTGGGGAGGGGGGCGGGGGGAAAAAAAGAGAACAGTTGCCAAGGAGAAATGATTGCGGCCACAGGCGATTCTCTGGTCATTGTCCCTTTTTACAGCTCGCGCCGTTTCTCCCCCCTCCCAGTTGCTTTTTTTTTTTGTTCTGTTTTGCTTTTGTTTTCACGTGCAACCACTCTGGCGCCGCCGCTGCGTGCGGACCGGTTTTTCCATCCCCCCCCACCGCTCCTGCGGGCCCC